TATCTTGAGAGGTAAATCTATAAAACCAAAGTAAGCATGCTTGATTCGGTGCCGTGAAGCTGTGCATCTATGCTTTTAGTCCCAGCTAGAGGCTCTTGAAGGTTCTGATTGCCCTCAACAACCTTGGTGTTTAAAAAAGTGGAAGTGGCAATTAGCATTAACCAACACTTTCGGCCCTTGGCGGTTGTTAGCATTAGTTTTAATTAAAGGAAGAAGGGAAACACAACAAATGATTTTTCAGAAAAGGTAAGAGACATGGTTGGGGAGAGACTTGCTAATTCAAGAAAGTGACAGAATGAAAAGTAAAGGTGGGACACAAGGAAGGAGACCTATGACTATATGTCCATTTCACATGTGCAGACATGTACTTAGATCTGACACTTAGTATCTCACCTGAGATACCTGTGTAGCCTCCTCCAGGAAGCGTTTCATTTCTTCTTCTCCATACGCAACGTTCATTGCAGAGCCACTGGTGAGAGCCAAATGGCAAATGGAGGGAAAGAAAGAGAGRGATGGAGCAAAAAACAAGAGGGCACAAGAGATGAGGAGAAGCGAGCCAACAGGAGAAGAAACAAGCTTCAAATGATTGTTCAAAACACTCATTATCTCTCTATTGCATCACTATTACCATAGGGAGCAAGGTCTGGAAACAGGCAAAATAAGGAGCGAGAGAGTAACAGAGAACAGCAGCTATTTAGGTCGAAAAGCACTTCAGGCTCATGAAAATGAGTTCAGAACTTCATCATTAAAAATACAACAAATTTAGGCTAGTTTTGTTGTGGTTGTTATTTTGGATTTTATGAGGGTTATCATCCTGTTTGAAAAAGAGGTTTTAAGAAACAGGACAAAGTAAGGCCATAGGCTTCAGTCAGATCTAGACTCCCTAACTGTCTGTAGCTCTGAGGCAGACACATATGCAATCCCATAAAGAATAGCGACCCTCCATTTGAATATAATAACAGATGATTCAGAATGCATTCATATTAAGCTATATCATGGACTTGGATGACGTTTTGTACATCCCTATTCTCCAAATTTCTTTTTTTTTCCTCTCCATTTTATGCAAAGTAATAAAATCATCTGTTAGTCTAAAACAGTGGCCGGTCTAGCCAGAAAACAACACCATAGTTCAACATAGTGACATCATAAATGTGAGTAAGAAGTTCATGATGTGCTTTCTCTTTATAGCTCATTGATGGCACCAAAGTTACCTTGATAAAAATTATAATGATAAATTAATTTGAAACCTGTCTTTTTCCCCCCCAGCATTAATGTAATAAGACACAGTCGTCCATCAATTCTCTGTACCCGCCTCTCCTGTCCGGGTCACAGGGAGCTGGTATACCATGGACGAGTCTCCAGTCAATCACAGGCCACATAGAGACAAACAAGACAAACATTTATTCACACTCTCACCCATWCCTTGGGCAATTAGAGTTCCCACTTAACCTAACATGCAGGTTTTTGGTCGATGGAAACCAGAGTAACTGAAAAACCCAAGTGAATTTGGGGAGAACATGCAAATGCCACCCAGAAAGGCCTCGGGCCTATAAGCAATTTTGCAATCTTCTCGCTGAGAAGCGGCAGCTCTGACCACTGCACCCCATGACAAGACACAGTGTTTGGCACATAAATTCAAGACTAATTGTGCATAACTACTGAAGCCTAAAAGAACATTCAAAAAATATCACCACAAATGTCAGAAGGAAACAGTGAAAATGCTGTAGGAATGAAAATAAGCAGAGAAAATTAGCTACTTTCAAATCCCACAACAAGCAGGGGAGGAGTKTTCTCTTAAACATCATTTAGTGTTAATCAATAGACATTCATCATTATTCTAGATGAGGTTAATAATGTTATGTTTATTTCAGTGTTAAAGGGAAATTAAATAACAACTCATACTTAACTGACTTCASTTAGCTTGACATTTGATTGCTTAAAATTGACCAGGTAGGCCTCAGGTTACACTCTTTCACATGTTTGTGTTTAAAGAAACAACTATACGTCAAGTATAAAATAAAAGACGCAAAAAGAACAAAAAAAAAAAGAAAAAAAAAGCTCCAAGTTCCAATAACAGTCCAGCTGAATTCTGGGTGTCGTCCTGACATCTGCTGGACAGAAGTTTTACTGCATGGTTTCAGGGGCATTCATGGGAATGTTGGTCATTAATCATTATAAATAAAATATATTTTA